GACGTGCTGCTTGTCCCGCAGGATTCACGAGGCTTGGATACAGAACTACGAGGGGAGCGACCCGCTGGAGGCGTGGGACAGGTCAGTGCTGCTCCTGGCCCCGGCATGTTCTCCGGGTATGGGGCAGCCCCACAGCCTCGCTCCCTATTGTGTTTTAGGTATGTGCAGTGGATAGAGGCATGTCTTCCCAGTCAAGAAAAGCAAAAGTTGCTGCCCGGTGTCCTGCAGCATGTTGTGAAGACCTTTCTCAATGACAAGAGGTACTGCCAGGACCCAAGGTTTATTACCTGCTGTATAAAACTGGTATGTATACATATGTCTGGGGTTTAAGCTATCCTATTCTTTAATTCTATGTTTACAAATGAGTTTTGCTCAGTTTGCCAAGCTGTGTGTGTTTGTATACAGATGTTTGAGGTGGGTACCGTCTTTTAGGCTTCTGTCCCACTGTCCTGCTCAACAAACCTCCCACCCTGTCCTCTGTTGCCTCACCTACCTTTGGCCTGTGATTGCCATTCCTCAATCCATTTAAAATCTTCCTCGCCTGGTTATGTACTGCCAGGACCCAAGGTTTATTACCTGCTGTATAAAACTGGTATGTATACATATGTCTGGGGTTTAAGCTATCCTATTCTTTAATTCTATGTCTACAAATGAGTTTTGCTCAGTTTGCCGAGCTGTGTGTGTTTGTATACAAATGTTTGAGGTGGGTACCCTCTTCTAGGCTTCTGTCCCCCTGTCCTGCTCAACAAACCTCCCACCCTGTCCTCTGTTGCCTTACCTATCTTTGCCCTGTGATTGCCAGTCCTCAATTTGCCCTGTGATTGCCAGTCCTCAATTTGCCCTGTGATTGCCAGTCCTCAATTTGCCCTGTGATTGCCAGTCCTCAATTTGCCCTGTGATTGCCAGTCCTCAATTTGCCCTGTGATTGCCAGTCCTCAATTTGCCCTGTGATTGCCAGTCCTCAATTTGCCCTGTGATTGCCAGTCCTCAATCCATTTAAAATCTTCCTCACCTGGTTAACAAGCCTGATGGCAAAGGTCCTCTTTCCATGATGTATCAAATGGATCTCATCTTTCTATAGCAACTCTTGGTCCTCAGAGAAGTTTTTGTGGTCAAGCTCTGCCTATGACATTAGCTTTGTGACCAGGTGCCAGCTCTCAGGATGCTTTTTCCTCTGCCTTTTCCCTTCACCTGCAATGTGGAGAACGCCTGGATTCTCCTGCCCTTCACCTCAGAGCTCTGTAGTTGCACTTTGTTGCCCAAGCTCTCCCTTAGCACAGTGATTGGTGCCCGTATGTGTAAGCAAGAGCCCAAGGCTGTTGTGAGCCTTTCCACTTTCTCTGCAGGGTCCAGAATGCAAGACCTTGGCAAGTGTTTTCTTGTTTTTTTTTGTTGGGGGAGGGGGTGTTTTTTTTTTTTTTTTTTTTTTTTTTTTTTTTGTATTGTGATGTATAGTGCCTTTAAATGATGAGGTAGAGTAGCATATGTTTTTCTCCTAGATTTTTGTCTAGACAAAAACTTACAGCTAGCTCTGAGCTAGTTAATTCTACTGGAGTTTGGCCTCTTGTATATGAACAGTTTGATGGGCTTTTCTTCCCTGCCTTTCTTGCCTAATTGTAGATTGACCTGTCAGTGACAAACTCTAGACAAGGCTGCAGGAGGAAGGGGAGCATTCCAGGCTGTATAACTTTGTCAGTCTTGTTGAGGGGTAGTGCATTTTTAATAACAAGGCTGTGTGTGTGTGTTTAACTGTTTAGTTTATGAGAGATGTCTTATCTACCAATTGTTTTAAGGGAGAAATCTAGTTTTTTTTTTTTTTTTTTCTCTTTCCTGTGACTTTCTTGAATGACTTTAGAAAGTGCTAATATGTCTTTATTTTATGCAGGGGGAATTCATCACTCCTCCTGGCCAATATTTTGACTACCTGTGCGGACAGGGAATTGGTGCCAAGACATCTGCTTTCTATGTTGCCTGGGCTCAGCATCTTGTCAATGAAGGCAATGTGCAGAATGCTGGGACTGTCCTTCAGAGAGGGCTTCATAATCAGGCACAACCAATAGAGAGCTTGCAGCAGATGTACTGGTAATTTGATGTGTCTCTTACTTGTTGACCTATTTGGATGGTGTTCAGTTAAATTTTGTTCTTAGATTAATGATTATTTCTGTGAAGGTTGTGTATACACATAACATTGATGCTTCCTTGCTGTTCAAAATGTCTTTGGCTGTGGTGGCGTGTTCATACACACAACACAGAGGATGTGCTGGTAAACCTGAACCCCAGTGTCTTCAGTGAAGTAGAACCCAGAAAGGAAATCCCTCTGTTACTTCATTTCCAGTTTATTCTCTTTTAAGTAGATGTGAATTATAAAGGTTGCCCACTTCAAGTGACCTATCTTGGAAATAATGTCTGAACTGCATTGCTTGGAAACCTGAGCAGTTAGCCATGCTAATGATGGCTGTTTTTTCAATTAGTGATGCCTGTATTCTTTTCAGTGTGGGAATTGGGTGCAATGTCAGGTATTGCTCAACCTCTGTGGGTGCCTGTTCTTCTGCTGTCACCTCCAGCTAAATGGGTAGTTCAGCTGTTGCTGGCCTCTCTCTGCCATTGGTTTATAGCCATAGCTGGAACTGCAGTGAAATATATGTCAACATCTGATTTTGTGAGATTTTTTTTAAGGAAACATGGGGTTATGGATTTGAGGGATTATGGTGACAATAATAGATATGTCCAGTTAATTGTGATGCATGTCATTTAGCACTTACCTGAGAGTGGGTATCTGTTGGAGGTCAGTATTTAGCTATTGGAAGGACTAGGATTGGTGTTTACGATGAGATGTGTTCCCTCCAGTGATGATAAATCTGGAATCTGATTTCTGTCTCTTGCTGAGTATTACAGAGTTAATTCTGGGGGAAGAGGGAAGCGGGTAGTATTTTAATAGTTCTGGGCATATCACTGTTTAAGGAAAGCATAGTTTCTTGGCTGGGGGGAGAGAAAGAGCAGAAAAAAAGACAGCAGACTTGATAGTAACTGACATTTCTTCCAATTTAGCCGGCTGCAGAATTATGGGCCTCAGAATCCTCCTTTGACGCAAGGTGAGGATGAAGATAATCTTCCTGCAAGTGGTAGCTTGCTTAGATGTTTCATCTGTCTTAATTGTAGAACTGAGTAAACTGCTAGATAATTTATTAAAATACACCTGATTTTTTTTTAAAGTTGCTAAAGTTACCCATGCATTATTTTGTTAGTTGTTTTCCTTTTTTCCTAGCTCTGATGTTGTTTATTATTCATCAGTCAGTTTTGCTACTGAAGAAATTGTTTCATGCTTCCTTTCCTTCAGACCTTCAGTTAGCAAAACTTTGTATGAAGTTGAAACCTGCTGCGTTTCAAGTCTCTAGCCAAAACATTAAGGCATCCTTCAGAGGTTTATTTCAATAAAGCAGCTCAAGACTGAGATGCCTTCAATATGAGGGTGTAACTGTCCAAATGTTCAATAAAGGCCCATTCTTATAGCTGGGAATGTAAACAATGGAAATGAGGAATAAGCTGAGTCACAGCTCTGATGTGACACTGCAACTGAATGCAAGTCTGAAGCTTGAGCAAAAGTATTTTAATAGTAAAACTTGAAATTCAGATTACTGACTAGCATGTACCCCTTGCTAGGCTTACCTTATAGCTGAATCCATGTCATATATCACTGCTGCTGAAATTATAGCACTACTTTCCTTCCAGTATGTAATTATGTGCACTCTAAAAGACTCAACTGAGGTTTTTAATTGAATACTAGAGTTAGTTCACTGACTATGGACTACAAAGAAGTGGCTGTAGGAACTGAAATTCTCTTTTATCTGGCTATCTTAAGCATTTTAAAGATGAATGTTTTCAGAATGAGGTATTAGTTTTCCTGTTCTTGAAGATATTCACAGAAATAATGAGTATTTTATTAATCTAAATCTTTCTTTTTGTGTCCCAGTAGCTGTTGATAAAAAACCACTTCAAACTTCCCAGACTGAAAATCAAATGACTGCTCAAAATGATATTCCAAACCTTAATGATCCAGCACGTGTTTGTGAAAATCAGGTAATTGACTCCTAGTGAATATCTCGCATGGACATTTTTCTCCATGTCTCCTTGCTAAGGAATTTTCCTTTTTTGAAGGAGAGATATCATCTCTTATTCTCTGCAACCGTTGTGTAGAATTTAGACTTATGAGTTTCAGTAAGAAAAAAGAATATTCTAGCAGTGTCTGCCATCTTCAAAAAATGTTACGGGTATTTTTAGGCTCTATGCATCACATCTGTAGAGGGAAGTTTTCAAGGTCATTCTTCAAAAACTTCCAGTTCAAGTTCTCTCTGTGTAGCTTGTAAACAAGTCCAAATCCTGTCAGCCTGTAGTGATCTTTTATCCCTTTCCCCTTTTAAAAAAGAAAATGAAAAAAGAGGGGAAAAAGGACTATTTGTAACTCATTTTCGGTAATAAATACCAAATGCAGCATTTTTTTGATGTTTAGTAAAGCTATTTACAATTCCCCACAGCTACCCTGATGCAATAAATGAAAGGTGGATGGAAAGGTGAAATTAAAGACTGTGGACAGGAAACTGATGTAAACTTTCTCCTTTTTAATTTGTTCTATCCTTTGAAATGCTTGCAACTCTTTTTGTTTGATATCACCTGCAAATATTGAAGGGCATCCTGGACAACAGAGTCAAGCTTAAACCTTAGCCCATCTGCTAGCTACCTTTTAGTCCTAAGGTTGGGCAGTTTGTAAAAGAGAGACATCAGATGGGGCCATCCAGCCTGTTCTTAAACCTGCGTCCCCTGTAACTTACATTCTTGCTCTTTAGGAATAGAAATTAGTTGTTAAAATAGTTCTAGAATCTTTCTGACAGTTGTGGTTGTCCAGAACTGTCTGCCTGCCCTTAGTTCGCTGGAATCTTGCCTGTCTTCCAAAAGTTCTCAGAGATGACAGCAAACTGTTCTATGGCTAATTCTTCAAGGTGAACTTCCTGAGGCTTCGATGACTTGCATGCCTCTCTTTGGTCTGTTCTTGCCATGCTTTTGGCCCCAATTATCATCTGTTCAATTTGCATTAAATACTGTGGGCTTCTGGACTGTTGGTCTGGTCAAAATGGGTAGGTAATTATAGTACTAGCTGCTCTTTTTTCTTCTCACGATAGGGTCCTGATTCTGCTGGTACTCAATCCTGCTCTTCTAGTGGAACAGCAGAAGTGTAAGTTTAAAAAAAAAATGTATGTATGTAAATATATATATAGTGTCTTTAGATACATTCTTGGAGCATGCTAATTTTTCATAATGAACTTAGATGGAACGTTTTTACTTTTCCTTACAGAAAGTATATTACGTACCTCTCCAAATCTGAAGTTGTTCCAAAGTCATCTTCAACTGTTGCTGAATGTGAGCAGGTTGCAATGTATGTTAAAAGCCTGCTCATCTGTGAAGGCTCTGAACTTTCATTTGAGGAAGTAAGAGCCAAGATATATTTCAAGAAAAGTGAGCACCTGAGAAGACAAAAAGAATTGGGTATACTTCTTTATTTCTATATCTACTTCAGAAATTGGGTTGGATTAATTTCTTTGGAACCTCGATATTGAAGTCTTGCTCCTGTATAGACAGTGCTGCCCATCTTGTAGCTGGAATGGTCTGAACACACCATCTGTGGAGCAAAAGCTTGGTGAAGTTTGTAGAAACAGTATCTTTTGTTTGTTGTCTGAAAACTTTCCAAAACCCGTGTTAATTTCCTTGTACCAAAACTGAGTAGGATGAGTTTGGAAGCATCAGTTAATGTGTCAGAAGACTATAATGACATCATTTACCTTCAGTCCTTATCTGAATTGAATTCCAGAATTGGCTGCCTTCAGTCCTTATCTGAATTGAATTCCTGAAGTGGCCAGGCATCTATATTTAGTGGTTATGGTGGTCCCCTGGATTTTCCTTCTCAACGCTTGATTCTCAAATATTGTTGTCATTTTGGGGGAAACTGGAGGCAAGTGTGAGGAACTCTTCGTAATTCTAATGACCTTGATGTGAGATCTCGCTGTGGATGTATGTGCTTACTTGTTACCTGTATTTTAAGATGGAGAATATCTTAGCTATAATCAATAGCTTGTAGACAGAGAACTCAGAAAAAACTCATGGTTATGTATGATGCCAAATGCTGTTCTCGGCCTGGGTAAATTAAAGACACTCCAGAGCAAAGGAGTACTCTTATCTTCACTTAGGCAGCCTTGTAAGATGCATCAAAAGACCATGTGCACAAACACACCTAAATTAAACTGGCTAGTGATCTTTTTTTCTAGGCAAATATTTTCCTCAGTAGATTTGAAAATGGCTGGTAGCTGCCAGTTATGCTCCATACTTAGACAAACTGCTTTGGGTCTCGAAGTGGAAACCAAACTGAATTTTAATGGAAACTAGCTACTCAGGAACAGGTTAATCATGTATCTGACCATTTTAGAAAAAGGAAAAAAAAAAAAGAATTGCTATTTCAGCAACATCCCCTGTATCCCCTGTAAAAGCAGTAATTATATCACTTCCTGACAAAAAAAAAAAAAAGGGAAAAACTCTCGAGCGGAACAGAGAATTTCAGTGGTGGGAAGGAAGCCAAATCTTTCTGAATCTGGATGATTATTATTGGTACATATTTTTTAAATCCAGTAGTTATTTATGACAATCCCCAGCAGAGGAAGCTCTTCCACTGGGATAGCAAGGTGTGCTCCTACCCAAACTTTACCAAGGGGTCACTGTGATAGAATCTTTCAGATTCTATCTGAATTCCAGATAATTTCTTTCTGATTAGTCTTTTGATGTCTAAGGCAAAGTATTGCTGCTGTGCCTGCAGTGGGACTGATTTTAGCACCCTTGAAAGTACACGCCAGCCTGCTGCTATACTGGCTTGTGGGTTCTTCAGTGTTTGTGGCAATGACCACCTGTATAAAAGTACTAGGACCTCCACTGTTTGCCAGGCTAATGCTGAGATGGTTTTGTGTAGCTCCTCCTTGAGGAAACAGGACAGTTAGACATGATGAGCCCTGGGGAAAGTCTCAGCCTCTCCCAGCTTTATACCACCACAGTTGACTCCTGTGGTTGCATAGACTAAGTGTCAAATATGAAATTCAAGCAGCTTGTAAATTCTGAGTGCTGACGTCTGGAGGGCTGAGAAACTTAGTGGGATACTGATTATGTGTTTTGCTTAATATCCTGGTTAGAAGAGGAAGAGAGAGAGTCCAGAAGGAAGAAAGAAGCAGCTGTCCTTGAACTGCAAGTCCTGGAGCAGAGGCTGGAAGAGCTCACTAGGCTCACCAAAAGCTCGCTGGAAACTAAACCGGAGCAGTCATCTGCAGCATCAGTTGAGCCAAGGCAGACAGTGGTAAGTATCTATTAGCAGCACCCTCATAACCTCATAAAATTTAACCATGGTTTAGACAGTGACTTGAATAGTGTGTTAAATCTGGAAGTACACACTGCAATACTTAACTAGTACAGATACTTGCAAAATTTTAAATACATAATGAAATATATTCCGTTATTTCCCAAAGTTTGTTTTTGCTCCTCTGCATTCACTTTTAGCTACATGTATAAGTTGGTTCTTATGCATGATAAACCAGAAATTAACGATAAAACAGCAATAATTACACCTCTAAGTGTGCTTTTTGGGATGTAAAAGAAAATAATCTCTCTAAAGGTACCTCCACATGTGATGCATGGTGCAGCTCTGCAGAACAGGACAGCATCTTGTCAAAGCTCAGATCTGCAAACCCCCTGGGGTCTGGTGCCAGAGCGGATTCAATCAAGGACTTTATCATCTACTCTTCCTGCCCCATGCTCTATTGAACCAGCTGGCCACCAGAGGACATCAACTTCCTTGTTGGAAACAGCATATAAGGAGGGCACAATCAAAACTCAGCCAGAGCTTGGAGAGCTCCAGAACAGTTTGTACTTGCAGTTCAATAATGTTTCAATTCAGCAGCAGACACATCCAGACATGACTCGCAATCGGAGCACTGGAAAACAGTACGTATAATCAGTCTTTCTTGTTCAGCAAAGTGTGCTGTCTTTAGTATCTGCCCTGTAACTCAGAATTACCTAAAAAAGTCATGCTTGCTTTTTCTTCATCCAAAAGAAATCTGAAGTAGCCTACGGAAAATCATGGCAGTTCTTGTTCAAATTGGCACATTAGGACGTTGTGCTAGACTTTCTAAGGAAAATGTATGTAAATAGCTTATCTTGAAGCTCAAGCTTTTTGTCTCATCCCAACTGAAAGAATCTTTTTGTTTAAAGGCTAAAATGATGATATTAAGGATCTTGAGACTACTTTCCAGATCTCAATATTTAAAGTACTCCATGGGATCAAAATTGAAGTACAAAATTACAGTATTCAGGCATAGATCAAATTTCTGTAACCGATGCTTCTAATTTAGATTTTGAATTCCTATCCTCTGTTATGATCACTTAAGTACAAGGTGGAAAAAAATGGGGCAAATTCAGTGTGTCATTCAAGAGATTATTTGACACTGGTTCCTCTGATAATGAAATAATGGAGGAATGTGCTCAGTTCATGCTAATCCTGAGTATTGCCTCATAGAGGGGGAGAAAAAACATACTTAGGTGTACTTTGATTTGAGTGATTGAGCTAATGCGTAGAGAACTGGGAGGAGGGAGGGTGGAAATAGGCTGACAAAATAAGCATGGCTGAGTAGGCTTGGTCAATTAGAGGGAAACAGTTGTTCACTTCTGTTAAGGAAGTACTTGGAGATACTTGGAGTACTTGGCATATATAAGCAACAAACTACCAGGAAATGGGAACCTAGTACTTTGCAACTGCTCAGACTGCAAATATTTCTGTAATAGTGCTTAGAGACACTTCAGAGTACGAGTTCCCAGGCTCTGACTTAATCTGACAGCTGTGCACTGGAAGAAGGTTTAATTAATGCCTATGCAGTACAACTGGTCTTGTACACTACAGCTCTGGAGCTTGTCAGACCCTCCTGTGAGTCATTTCAGCCCACTACCCAAGCAGGAGATCAGATCTGGATATTTTTCCAAGTTCCTTTTTGATTGGTTTTATGCAGCAGTGAGCTACAGCCTCAGATTAATGGCTAGCTCTGGCTTGCTGTGTTATGAACCTGATTATAATTCTACTTTTGTAGAGCAGGCTGCACAGGTGCTGTAGTGCTGTGAAGTCTGTCTTGTGTATCTGTATTTCTTGTCATGCTTTTGGCCCAAGCAGGGTTCCCTTTTCCATTTTTCAAATGGAGATGGTGGTGCTTGGTTCACACTAAATAGCCTGCAGTAAAAAAGGTAAGCCCACTTGGAAGAGAGAGAGAGAAAAAAAAAAAAAAAAAAGGAATATTAGCTACTGTCTCCTGGGATGTTCCCTGTGTTCTAGACTGGGAAAGGCCTCCCTACTCCTTGAAATGTGTTACTATTGAGTCTTGAACTGAAGCTGGAATTTAAGAAATGGCTTTGTTTGAGTTCATGTTTTTAATCTTTTATTTGAAGGCACTCTAACGAGAGATCTGCTGGACTAACTGCTACTGTGGACATGAAAGAAGGTAATAAACCAAGTTTTGACAAAGACTGGTGCTGTTGTTATGACATTTACTGGCTGAGCATGAATAGCATGTAGTCTTTCAGAACTGGCAAATCTAGAACATGGTGCTTAAAAGTTACTAATATTCAGCATAAAAATATGGAGGGCTTTACCATGTAGCACTCTCACTTAGGTCTGAAGCTCAGGGTAAAATGCAAGGAATGGCACACTTCAGGTTATTTTCATTCCATCTTATATAGGACTCGCTTTTCTAATGGCTGCAGAGGTCACTTAACTATTTGAACTCCTTTCTAAATGAATTATACAAACAGAAACTTTCTAAGATGAGATCACCTAATCTAGTCTCTAGCAGAAATTTTGTAGGTTAGAGATATTGCAGGATCTTTATTTTTTTCAAGAAAATGACATGTGTTCTCCAGAAAATAAATATTTGAGATTACATAGAGTATGTATTATCTAAGAACAAAGAGTGGATTATATGATTTCTTGAACTTCTGCTTTAAGACGATCAAGATGATATTTCATGTTTTCATGTTTAGATATACTTCTGTAGGAGTCTAATTACGTTTTCTACAGGTTCTTTTGCCTTTTCCTCAAACATCAGTAACTGCAACCAATTGCCAGTGTGGTAGACAATGGTTTTGATGGGCCTGTGTTCTAGGAAAGTTGACCCTTTGCAGATTTTTGCAGGAGGGAGAGTATTTGAGTGACTTGATTTGCCCTCAGGTTAAGCTTGGCGCAGTTATGGGAGAGCGTATTTAGTTGTCTTCTACTTACCTGTAGAGGTCATACATCAGAACAAATAGGCCAAAATATGAATATGGGAGTAACCTGGCCGAAAGAGTGACTTATCTGGAGAGAGGTGGACTGGGTGATCTGTTATTCACTTCTGGTTTTAAGCTTTTAGCCCTTAGGGGCTGTTAGTGCTTTACTAGAATTGTGAACTGATCTAGGTTGGCAGTGAACTCCTGAGGCCTCTGAGGTAAAGCCTCCCTCCCTTAGGATGAGCCTCAGGGACCTGAGAGTGCAACTTTAAGAAAGTAAAACTCCCTTTTTGTGACATCTATTAACAGGCCCTTTCTCACTGAGCAGCACGCACAGAATTGCCTCAGTTCTCTTGTTTTTCTCTACTTAAGCCTTTCTTGTTGCTCCTCATGTCTCTAGTTGCTTCCAGCCCTCTCTGAGCATTCTGACATTCATAACTTTATCCTTACGCTTCCTACTGGGTTTTGAGCTGTTAAGAGTTGCTTCTTTATCCGTGCTGGCTTCCTGCCTGCCCCTTTGATAGACTTCCCACATGTTGGAAGGGGCTGTCCTTGTGCACTGAGGACTGTGCACTGTTACCAAAGACCACTCGACCGCTTAAGGCCCCTTTGCTCTTCAGGGCAGTTTCTCTTGGAAACCTGCCAAGCAGATTCCTCACCAAGTTGGAATCTGCTCTCCTGAAATTTGGGGTTGTCATTCTGTTACTCATCTTGTTTACTTCTCTCAGTAACTTTTCACTAGCTACTGAATACTTGTAAACATCCCCAGGCTACACGAAGAAGCCTTAGAAGTCATTTGCACTGTTTCCTTTTCCAGCATCTAGAATTGGGAATTCTTCCTCTGCGTCTGGAAATGCTTCCCAGGCTACACCAAACACTTCCCTGGGAGGACTGATGCAGGCCACACCATTCAAAGTGCAACCTTCCCCTACAGTTCATACAAAAGAAGCACTGGGTAAGCAGCTGCGAGGAAATACTGGTCTGGCTGGAGTTAACGGGATCTTGCCTGGTCATTTTAGTGGAGCTGAATGTTCACTGAGGCTGCTAAGTGATGTATGTGTGCACCATGTCCTGAAAGAGGAAAGTAATATTCACGGTACTGACACTCTTCAGTTAACTGGATGATTTGCAACTTTGATTGTGTTCTTGGATACAGTAGGAGTAAAGCTTAGCAGAGCATCTGTGCCTTAAGCTAACATCCCAGCAGCCACATGCTGGAAACTACGGGATGAGTCACTGATGCTACTGCTAGGCCTATTTGGGCAGCATGTTCTGAGCTGCGCTTGCCATGGCAAGACAAGGTCATAGCACCAAGAGGTGCCATGTTTAAGTCTGACCTTCCTGTGTTTACTCCCTTATGTGGGATGCTTAAATGGGAAATCAAGGAATAACAGTCTGGCATAAGATTTGTCTTATCAGTGACTCCTACATGGTAAGAGATCTGAGAAGCGTTTTGTTTGATTTCAAAGGTTTTCTAATGGATATGTTTCAAAAACCCATCTTGCCTGAATCATCTCTTCTTGAGGAAAGTGAGGAGGAATTTGAAGCCTTTGCCAGAAAAAGTGGTATGTACTATTATTTTTCAGTCCACAGTATGTCAGTCTCTAAGACTTAATTTCCCTCTTCCCAAGTCAGTATCTGTATAATTTTGAGAAGTAATTGAGTAGGTGTGTAATGAAGAACTTCTTTCCTGATAATGAATCAGGAAACGTATCAAATTATATAAATTTAATGAATGTAACTGATATGTTGTTAATTCTAATGCTTGGCCTAAGAAAGGCAAAAGCACTCTACCATTAGCAAGCCTGTTAATGTGTGTATTAAGTTGTTTCTCTGTAGGCAATTCTCTGGCATTTAAAACCTAAGTTTGAAAAAGTGTAGAGCTAATATAAATATGCTTTCCTACATGTAAAACTTCTTCCCCACCTCCAAAGCACTTGTCTACACCCTTTTTAAGCCTTGAGCACACAAGTATTGAGCCAAGAAGGGAGAATATAAATGCAGACTAGAGTAGGTCTCTTGCAGGTTTGATGTTAGTGCGTGAATTATGAGCTTTTCAGTATCAGTTAAGATTGCTTGAAAGTTGGGCAGTAGCACTGGCTTACTGAGTGGGCACTGATAAATCTCAGTGATCAGTTGATCACTGTTACAGCTGATCAGGTGGAAGTCAACAGGGAGATTTCTATGCTCTTGGCCACTCTTAAATCTGAGATGGAAAAAATCTTCTCCACTTTCACGAGCTTATAGCAAAGATAATTGCATGTCAATTCTGAAGAAGCATCTGTCCTATCCTGCCCTGCCTCCCATTTGTTCAGGCAATTTCCTGTCTGTCTAGTCTGTCTGCTTCTCTTGTTTGACTTTTGTTAGGTTTCTATCTAAGCTTCAAAAGGAAAGAAAATGTTTCCAGCATGTCTATGTCTCATATAGAAAACAAGCATGCAGTTTCCTGAAAGACAAGTTACTACTTCAAGCTTATTAGCTATTTCGTTGGGGTAAAAGCATGGCGCTTTATGATTTTCACTGAGTGAAGATAATATCCATGATCTCTTCTTTTAGAGCCTGACAGAAGCCTGAAATTTAATGACCTTGCTCCTGTTGTGCCTATTTTTTCAATCTTTGAAGATGAAAATGAAAAGGAGAACAGCAGGTAAGAGAAGCAAGTAACAAAATGGGTTCTGCTTATTGAGAATTATATAGAGAGTAGATACTATGCTAGGTAATTGTTATGACTGTATTTACAATATTGGGATTGACTGTGGGGTGTCCTTTATTTGCCTCTTTTTTTTTTTTTCTTTTCTCCTGGAATTGCACAGCTTTCCTATTCTGGACAGTGTGATTGAGATGGTTAATATTCTGGATAACTGTGGGTAGCTTATCTTCGAGCTACTGAAATTTCTCTCACTTTGAGCAGATGAGGTTCTTGGAAAAAAAATTTAAACAGCTTTACTTGGAAGGTTCTGGGGAAAAGCAGTTCTAAACTGTCTGTTTTGTCAGGATTCCACAGCATAAGAATGAGTCGGAAAAGCCCAGAACTACTCAAGAATGTCCCTTGACGGACTGTACAGCACGTATGGAAGTGAGTGTTTTGTTTTACTGTAAAAATTAGCCTTGGAAATGGGCTGTGTAGTTAGGAGCAGGTATTGGAGGTAGCTGTGTTTAGCAGTATCCTCAGCAGTGTTCACTTTCAGTCCTGCAATGCTTTTTTTAAGCTGTATCTGCCTGAAGCCTAGTGCTTCCCTGACAAAAGGTGAACATTTTCATATGTTAACTTTCATAAAATTTTAAAGAGCTTAATAGTGGCAACCTCTATCTGTAGACAAACCTCTCTAGTAAATGAGCAGATTTGGCAGCTGCTTGAATGAGGAAGGAGGGGCGCAAGAGATAATTACATCTAATAGAAGACTATTAGGTGTAGCCAAGGAGATGCATAAAACTACATGCTGCTTGGATGTAAGTGATCACTGTGTAATGAGATAGGCTTTTCTAGGCCTTCATGACAATTTTTTACTGTCTATCATCTTGCTGTGAAATTGATGGTTGCCAACATGCATGTGTGATACCAAGCTATATAAACCTGGGGTTTGGTTGCCCTTTTTTTTATTTCTGTAGTATTCTAAACAGATACATGCACACCATCTCTGGTGTTCAGACTGATTGTAAGGCTACTAGATTATACTGCAGGTCTGACAGAATGGGTTTGGTTGCTTAGTTTTAAAAATACATTTATTTTCTGTCTAGGAAGAAATACAGATACCAGAGTTCTCAAAGGATGATTACACAGTGTGGTGTGCACCATATAGTAATAAACCCTTGGCTTTGAGTCCAAATAACACAAGAGACTTTGCACAAGCTGCTCAGGTTGTATCAACGCCATTCAATCACTTATCAACTCATTCACAGCAAGCTTTGGAGAAAAAAGGTAAAAAGGCTTCAGTGGAATAACAAATACTTCATTATCCAGAGTTCATTGTAACTCTATTTCTGTGCACTGGTTACATCCTAGAGCTCATTAAATATTTGATAATTGTGTGGGTACCAGTGTTGCCACCTTTGAGTCTAAATTGCTGCAGAAGAGCAAGTGAGAACATGTGCTTGCCCAACACACAAGCTTTCCAGGAATTAATATTTATGGCTGAAAAGAGAAGGTGACAGGAGGTGGTGCTATTAGAACTGTTGTTCTAGACTGTTTCAAAGTTCTCAGAAGTCTGTAGATAGTTGAACACTTAAGTCCTGGTACCCTCTTCAGTGAGGACCTTTATGCTTGTGTGCCTTTCTAAAGTCTTGGGATACTCTCCCCAAGTAAATGACTCTATTGTATTTCCTTAGTTAATTTAACCTGTATAAAACAGGTTCTGGCTTTGTACAGATTGACAGTTGGAGTAAAAACGGGCAGGTATGGAATGTTTTGATTGTATTGGGGGGGATTTGTTATTGTGAAGTTTCAGGGTTTTTTTTTTTTTTTTTTTTTTTTTTTCCTGTGTGTGTGTGTTTTGCTTTATCAGCCTTGTCATGGTAAAATACTTTAAATAAGCACTTGAAGATGCACTTCCCTTTGGGGAAAAAACACATAAGTTATTATTACATAATATATATAATATATATTATTACAATATAGTATAATAATATGTTATTTTAATATAATCTCTTCATACAGGCTGTGGGGATGACTTGCTGCAAATGAATCTGGAAACTTCTGAAGCACCAAAGCAGCAGACAAAATCTAAGGAACTGAGGTATGACATTATTTGCTAAGATTTTTTTAAGACTCTTAATGGCAATGCAGGTTTGGAATTAATGGCAGAGCAGTCAGTTCTGTTATGCTGTGGCAGGAGCACATTTTTCCAGTAAGCTGCAACTTGCCCATTTTCATATGATTGTCTCTGCTTCACAAGCACTTGAGTTAATTGAACCTTGTATGCCCAAGTAGAAGAGCTGTTTTGAATGATTTGGTAGAGACACGGGCAAACAAAGAACATGCTGTATAAATTTGAAGACAGACTTCACCTTCGCTGTTCTGACAGTGTTCCTACCTCTCAGGAGATGTATTATTCACTGTATTACTGATGTACAGGGCTTAACTGGAACAGGCAGCCAAATATGTAAAGGAAATCCTAGGGGCAAGATGAAAAACTGATTAAGATCAGTCTGACAGGTTCTGGCTTTGTACAGATTGACTCAGTAGTCGGAGTAAAAACAGGGAGATAGATAGGGAATGTTTTGGTTTTATTGGGGAGTTTTTTTCTCTTTGAGGATTTGTGGAGTTTTGTTTTAATGAATAACCATCCCAGGGTTGTTTTTATAAGTTTGGTATTGGGAAGATTGTACAGTAGTCATGTTCTCCAGGTTAGCAATTCTAATGGATTTGAGCCTCCTTTGAAAAGGAGAGAGTGTATCACTTTCATGGTGTACTTTCATCCTAATGCAAGCTTTTCTGGTGTTAAAATTATTATGCTTCATATCTTAGAAAATCATGAAGCAGCAGTGATTGGTTTTAATTTAATATTGTCCGTCCCAAATGTTTTAGTGGATCTGTGTGTGAAACTGTTAATTTTGGCTAAAATTGTTGACCAATGAACTGGAAAGTTGTCAGACTACAACTAGCAGGATATGGTCAAATCTTATTTTCTGTAGAAATGTCCACCACGTTCATTTTGATTTCTTTTATGGTAAAGATTGCAGGCAGGGAGTTGGGATGTAGTTTTGGCTTGCTAAATATGCAAAAAACACCATGGCAGTACTGTCAATTAACAATATTTTGCTTTAAATATGTAGCCCTGCTCTTGAATGCCTTGCAGAACAAGGACAGCTACAAGGAAACACCATCTCTACAACTGGTTCTCAAAAAATACATGAGCAAATTGCACCTAATAGGACTGAATGTTTCCCATCTGTCGGGGTGGACAAAACTTCCCATGAAGAGCTGTCTGGATCTCATCAGGACAGGACAGACAGGAGCTTTAGGAATTCAGGTATAGAGCGTTGGTGATAATTCTCCTCTCTTAAATAAGAGACTGGAGAGCACAGTCATGTTTTTGAGGCAGTGGTTTCATCCAACACTAAGGTGGTCCCTGAAGTGAGCAAACTGTCCTGAGGCTCCTGCAAGGAGACTGCTCTTTATGTGCAATGATGTCCTTCCTCGTGGAAGGAGGAGTGTGGGCAATACCTGCATTATATAATGCCAACAATATGCCATGAAGTGCAGGAGTATTCGGGAATACACACGGACTCCCTACTAATTCAGGCTCAGTTACCTGAGAAATATGTTCTCAGCTTGTGTTTAAAACTCTATTGAGCAAATGTATACTTGCATCTTCCCTGCTTATTTAAAAAAAAAAAAATCAATTATCAGAATCGGCCTATATAACTTATCTTTGATCTTTCATCAGTGACACTTGTTCAAGTATAAGCTTGATTTACCTCTTCTAAATGATACTTTGCTTATAGCCTCAAATATTTTTGTTTTTTCTATAAAGTCCTTGTTGAGAACCCTTGGGATGAGAAACTGATTTGCGAACTCTTATCAAAGCTTCCTAAACCCCTCAGTACCTATGCCAACTATTTTGAATGGAATTCTGCTCTTCCATCCGTCAAACCAAAGACTAGACTCCCACTGGGTAAGAACTACATCAGACACTTAATTTTGATCCACTTGTTGCATCTTTTACAGGAATCTTTAAAGTGCTTTTCTAATCCAATTTACTTAAGCATATATTCACTTTCCTCAGGAAATTGATTCCAAATTATCTAAACTTCAGCTTTGAAGTTAGGCATGTTTTTGTTTCTCTTTAGTTGAAACCTAACAATTTTTTAAAAGTTTTTCTGAGAAGGGAACAAAGAAACCTTTCCCTGGTAGTATGTGACACAACTTAAAGCTTTGTGTGGAACAGCAGCAGTCTTGTTTCAATAAAGTCTGTGTAATGGTAATGGCAGCATACTTGCATCACTTTAAAAAGTCAACACTAACATTTAAGAATTCGCTTTGGAATTTCATTTCTTTTGGACAGTCATACTCTAAACACTGTGGTTTTTAGTAAATGGTGTTTCACAGACCTTGATCTCGAGAATGGTTACGGGCCTGCTTTTATGGAGGGGGATGGCTAGTAAGGCCAGTATAAAAATTACTGCTTTAATGCAGTAATGTCTTCTGTGATGTTTACAAACAGGAATTACTGATGTTTGCTCCTTTTCCTCCTACAAAAGGTTCTAATTTATTCCATGTGGATTGCTTGCTTGGAGAAGGAGCTTTTGCTCGGGTCTATCAGGCTTGTATACTGGATGCAAATAATCCTAAAAACAATCAGAAAGTAATATTGAAGGTAAGTAGCATTGATTCGGGGCAGGGGGAAAAGGAAAATTTTGGAGTCTTGATGTAATTTGACACCTCTTGACAGCCTGGATGAATTTTGCCAAGTGTCCTCCTTCATAAATAGGAAGTAAGGCGTTTTAGTCTGTCCTTAAAGCCTTGTTCAATTGCAGTGCTTTGATACCCAGGAAGCTATTTAACCACCAAATTCATCTGATATTTTAATCATGTTTTTAAAGGTAGTCCCAAGTATCCTAAAACCTTCAGTTTACGGCAAGGCACTTTTCACCTGAACAAAGGTGCTTATTTGTGTGTATGATCTTAGTCCCCAGCAAAAGAAAATGTGTGGATTGAGGATGAAGTTGCTCAGATGATTTGTTTGCTCTGAAGAGACCCGTGTTCCTTGCAGTTCTGTTCCCCTTTCCACTGGCTTTTTTGCACTTTGGCAGCCCTGCTGATGGCTGTGTGTCTGTCAGTTCTAGACTGCACAGCTCCTACCTCTGCTCTGCCTTGTCTTCCAGGCTGCCTCTCAATGCAGGAGCGAGCAACTGATGATAGCATGTGTTAAACCCAGCACCAAAGGGAAAGTGTATGTCCCTGCAAAGTCAGCTTAGTCCAAGAGGGTTATACCAGATCATACAGTCACTCTAGCTAGGTTGGAATGTGGTTGTGTGACTGACCCACCAGCTCAGGCTCTCCACATCAAGTCTTTTTTTCCTACCTTAGAATTGTGGATCTCTTCTGCAACAGCTAATTTTTCAACAAAGACATTTTAGCATAGCACCTTAAGTGTGTGTGTGTATGTATAATTTGTATTTATGTTAACATTTGATATCTACGGTAGAAGAAAAGCAGGAGGATTCGTCACTGAGTGTAGTTTTCTGAGGTTAACCATGTAGATGGAGTATTCCACTTGATTACAAGAAGTGGTGCCTAGGTACTTGAGACAGTCACTAAAACACTGAGATTTTCTGCTTTAATGCCAGTAGATTAACCCAATAATTCAACACTTTGGTTACAGGTCCAAAAACAGGCAGGTTTTTGGGAGTTCTATATAGCAACACAACTGGTAGAAAGACTTAATCCAAGCATACGCCATCTGTACATCCACTTCTATTCTGCTCATTTCTTTCAAAATGGGAGCGTTTTGGTTGGTGAACTCTACAAGTATGGCACATTGCTGGTAAGTGTGCTCAGCTTCTGCTCTGAACTTCTATATTTTTACTTCTTAGGCTGTTGGTGTATATATTGCAATATTCAGCAGTGTCTTCTCCAGTCAGCTTTATAGAACTTCATTGTGAAGTTAGAAACAGGTCCATTAGAAACATGGACCTGTAATCCATATTAAGTTGTTTCTGTGTAGCTGACAGTTCTTACTTATCCCCTTTTTGTTCACAGAATGCCATAAACATTTACAAAAAGCTTCCTGAAAAGGTGATGCCTCAAGCGCTTGTAATCTATTTTGCTGTAAAAATTCTTCATATGGTAGAAGAGCTCCACAACTGCCAGATCATTCATGGTGACATTAAACCTGATAATTTTATCCTCGGAGAAAAGCAAGTATTTCCTTTTACCACCTGAGGTGCTAGCATATCATTGTATCACAGTCTTGAAATTTGTGTTCATTGCTTGTTGTCTTGGTTGCAGTTTTGTGGAGAATGATGCATGTGATTTAGATGGTCTCTCTCATGGCTTGACGCTGATTGATTTGGGACAGAGTATAGACATGAAACTCTTTCCTGAAGGAACTGCATTTACTGGACGTTGTGAAACATCTGGATTTCAATGTGTTGAAATGTTGACACAGAAACCGTGGAACTACCAGGTATGTGACTGCATACACAGCTTGAATATTTGTAGCTTAAAAATTGTGTGACATGAATAGATGGCTTAGAGGAATATTCGACTTTTGCCCTAATGTGGCAGATTCAGTTCTAGATGTTCTTTGCTGTAAAGATATGGTCCTGAACCTTTTTATGAAGCTTGCCCTGTTGGGTCCTCATTTTTTTCACATAATTTTTAGTGGGCTGGAGGCACACTTTTTAATATACAACTTGTACATGATTTATTTAGACAGATTACTTTGGCATCGCAGCGACTGTCTACTGCATGCTCTTTGGTACCTACATGAAAGTGAAGAATGAAAACGGTCTCTGGAAACCTGAGGGAGCCTTCAGAAGGTTGGTGTCAAAAATCTCTTCAGAAACTTCCCCTTAATGGAGAGTCATTAACTTCAAGTTTGAGGTTAATTTCTGATGTAGCTTTTAGTGTTGCTTGGCTTTTTGATGTTCTAAAAAAATGTGGGTTTATTTCATGTTAATAGCTTCAGACTTCTCTAATTTAAGTATGGGCAGCATCTCAGCAGTAGATAAGGTGAATTGCATGGCAACCCCCTTTTACTGGTGCCTGGAAGGAGGAAAATAGAGCTAGTGAGTCAAAATTGTGCTGTTTCCCTAAGCAGCCTGCCACATGTGGTTCTTCCAATCTGTAATCTGGGAGGTAACAGGGTAAATAGAGGAAAGCACTCAAACAGTTTGAATTTAGTTATTGTTTCGTTTTGTTTTTGTTGCTTTACAGGGTTGCCAATGCCAAATTGTGGATAGAGTTCTTTGACAGCATCCTGAACATCCCCAACTGCCATAGCCTGCCGGCCTTGGGAGTCCTGCGTGAAAAGCTGAAGGATTTGTTTTGCACAGCATATGTCAAAGACATCAAACTCCTTCGGAACAGACTTGTTGTGTTGCTCATAGAAAACTTATGGTCACGAAAGTGAGCACTTGGTGTACTGTACTACTGAGGAATGGAATCTTCATGAATTTTCTTTTTTTATATGAAACTTCTGTAATAACCTGTTTTAAAATAAATGTTTTTACAGGCAACTTCAGGGACAACTAATAGAAAAACTCAAGTTATTCTTTCATGAAGAAACTTGCATAAAATAATGTGGCTTTCATGAAAACTATATGAAGTGTAGATTGAAGTTGCCCAGCTTTCAGGTAACAGGAGGAGGCAGAGGCCTTTCAGAGATTGTCTGTAACTGTTGAACTGTTCTTGAGAAATGACTAGAAATGCATAACATAGAAATGAGCAAAGGTGAGAAGTATTTTGTATGTGCATATGTAAGTGCTCTCTCTCAATCTTCTTTGAGAAATATATTATAAAAAGGAAGCATTAAGGTTGAAGGGGCCTTGGGAAGTCATTTAGTCTCAACTTCTGCTCAAAATGAGCTCAATACTGAGTTCAGACCAAATACGCTGAGATTTATTTCTTCTTAGATGCTAGTGAATATATAGGTACAAATGTAATTCAGTCAAGGGAAGAGCAGGCTGCTTTTTGGCTTGTCCATGATGTTGTGTATTTATAAAACTAAGCAGTTACTTGTTCCCTTATCTAGTGAAGGACACAATATAAATCAGTGCCCAGAAACTAAAGCCAGGTGTTTCTGATGCCCTGACTATTGCAACAAGGTACAGTGATGGGTCAGCTTGTTTCAGAGCAAGGCTTAGATGCCTTTTGGGAAGGCATGCTTCAAGTGAAACAAACCCTTCAGCTTTCATTAAAGCAACAGTTGAGTAAAATAGTGTGGATTACATGATATGAAGAGCTTAAATGTGAGTAAAATAGTTGTACAGGATGAATAGGAAGCTGTTATGTTCATGCTGAGCAGATTCTTACACTTTAGTTTGCGAATGTTTGATTAATGTGAATGCTCTTTTCGGTGTTTAAACGATGCAAATTCTGACCTGGAAAGCACCACTGTCCTAACTCTAGTGTTGCAAACTGCAAAGAATTGTAGGAGCATCAGAGAGGGGGACTTGGATAGGGCTGATACCTCAGTTCCTACATTTTGACCCTGACGTGTATATCTGATTCCTGTAGTTCTGCTAATATTGGAGGATAGGGCTGATACCTCAGTTCCTACATCTTGACCCTGACGTGTATATCTGATGTATTGTACTGGCGTCAGCCAGTCTGAGTCTTTCAGGGCATTTGGTAGCTGTAACTTAGCTGTTCTAGTACTGGTTTTTGTGGTATCAGAACAATTTGATGTGGAGGGTTTTAATGTATTTGATTTTGCTCTAATGCTCTCTGTTAAATCTAGAACAATTAAACCACTACTGATAAGCACAGTAAAGTTCATCTGCCAAAAGTCCATGTGGAGAAAGAGATGTGGTTTCTACTGAGTGGGAACCTGGCTCCTGAGCTTTGGGAAGCTGCTCTTGCTAAGAAGCACTTGTCTTTGCTGGTACTCTGCCATCACTGCAGGGGATGGTGGAGGGTAGAGGTTAAGCCTTGGTGACCTGTATGAATAGCAAAGGGGACCTTCTCCCTTGCCCTGCAAGAAATGAAATGGCCTGAAACTAGTGGGGGACGTTTGGGGCTAGTAGGAAGCTGCTAGGATCAGTGCAGGGCTTGATCCCCTAATGTTTAGAGGCTGGGCCTCTGCTGAAAATAGTGTTTGCTATTGGGAAATGAGTGCTTTGCTTTGACAGCATATTTCAAGTGTCAGGAAGAGCTGAAGCGTTGTAGGGGAAAAGCTAGATGGCCTCAAGGAGTGGAGAAACTGCACACTTTCCAGAGGTACTATATTCCAGACTTGCACTCTAGGGAGAGCCAGTTTGTCCCACTCATCACAGTCTTCTCCAGTCTGCATGTGTAACAGGTCTTTCCTGAACATGTACGAGTTACTTGCCCTGCTGTTCTGCATGGGCTTGTCTGGGACCTGATGGAAAAAGCACTAAGGCTTCCAACAGCAGGAAGAAGCTCCCAAGCTGTGATTGCCTCAGGTGGATTTCTGAGGCTGGCAGATTTGTCATTATCAGACCACACGAGTTGTCACTAGGCTACAACCTTCTCCACCTGCTTTTATTTTTTCTTTATTTGGAAAGTAGCCTTTAGGTCCTGGTGAAGTTTCCTGCTATGAAGCTTGTTAACACCCTTGTTGGCTGAAGGATATTTTGTGGGTAGTGTGTCTTATTGGCTTTGGGGGCTTATTTTCTTTATACTTTTTCTGTATATGTATATTTTTTCCTGTATATTTTCCTCCTAGCTCTAATATGGAAAGGAGAATGGTGGCTCATTTGGACTAAAAGGAAACTGAATAGTGTATTTGATTTTTCAGCAGGGGTTGTGCTAGCATCGGATACTTCCATTACTGCAACTGTTGGGATTTTTTCATTGCTTTGTGTTCACAGTATCTACTACTGTGAATACCCACCTTGAGCCCCTCTATCTGAAGTCCAGGATCTCTCTCCAAACATTTCCTTCTCTTAAAAGACCAAAATCTACTTACTCCTTCTATGTATGTTTCTTTCAACCAGAACTTAAACTGTATTAATAGTTCTGCTAAAGATCAGACCAAGTCAATACCCAGAGCGTTGTACAAAATGCTCTTGTGGTCCCTGTTTGCCCAAAAAAGCCTCAAGCAGGTAACTGAGGGGAATGTTGCCTGAAGTCATTCACAAGACCCAAGTGTGGAAAAGCAATGCTACTTAGTGCTGTTATTGCAAGTATTTGGGGATTGGCTCATTCACATTCAAAATGTTTGCTCTACTCTTTCTGGGTAATTTCTAAGTTGTAAGAAGCTGAAGGTAGAATAAATTCAGATTAGACAGAGCTTAAGTCACTTGTGACTTTTTTGCTAAATTCATTCTTGACTTGTCACACCAAAACTATTAACAGATGTAAGCAAATGTTTCCTTACTCAATGGTGGTTTTCTGTTTGTCACAAGATTTTTCTTTGTATTGTGTTATGATATCTAGGTGCATCACCCTGGAAAACTCCGCTGAAGCATCCCTCAAAAGTATGGGAGAATTATTTGTTGTTAAGGAACTTGTAGAAATGGGTTTAATTACTGCTGTTGTTAACGCACTAATATACGGAACCATTACCGGCCACGTAAGTCAGTCACTTGCAGTGGTATGAGGTTGCCTTCACTTTCTATATTTTGTCAAACGCTAAATGTCAGACCTTGACCTGCTTTGCATAAATTCCCCAAATCTTATCCGGCAACTCAAACCCACCAGCTCCTCAGAAATATCTGAGTTTACATCCTCCTTTGGCTGCCTGGGACCTTCTTTCTGGGCATGACTCACATGGGAAGCTGTAAGCAGGAGCTACAGCATCTGCTGTGACTTGTAAGGATGATCACGTATGGGAAATACAAAAGCATTAGTGCTCTGTGGCACCTTCTGGGGAAATTAGTGCTCACATGTGTGCAGAGCATGTGGAATTACTGGTATTCACACTTTGCTAGTGTCATTTTGTTGCCCCTAATTGCTTTCCACTTAAGCTGTATGAGTGGTGTGTGGACCTCTTGTCCATATTATTGTGTAGAATTTGGATAAGTAACCTCAGAATTCTTGTTGCTTCAAAATTCATCCTCCTCTCTGAGACTGCAGCCTCTAACAGGCCACCTGGTGCTTAGAGGAGCTCAGTGGAGCTTACTGCAGTAGCAGAGCAAGGAGATTCAGCTATTCTGATATTGCTGCATGATAATGTTCTGTTCTGACTCTTTACTCCTGTAAAGAAGGTAGGAGGAGCAGGGGGAAGTTATTTTAAAGCTTTTGGATAGATAGGAGCAGTGTTCTATCCTATGTGGACAACCACAGTAAAAAAAGAACATTAATACCATTTCCCAGTTTCATACCCTAGAAAATAACATGGATTAAACTTTCCCTTGGTCAACTCTGTACTGTCATGCAGTAATCAAAAACCTGCCATGCCAACATCTTGAGTGACTTCAGCAACATCAAAGGGCTGTGACTACTGTTGCAGGTGAAAATGAAAATAATTTGAGGAAAACTATAGTGAGACATGTACACAAACAAAAACACATGCACACAAGTATATGTCAATGTGTGTCTATATATACACACCTTGATTGTTGCATAGGAAACATACAATTTTTATTGAAACTAATATACCAGTTAAAGTACCATTTTAGCTTTGTTACTGAGTTGTTCTAAAAATCCTTCATGCCTATGCCCTGTTCTGGTAGACTCTAGAAGGGAAAGGAGCTAAAAGAAAAGCTTTGTCAGGAAGGAAGTGAAGAAAGAGCTTAGAGTTAGTTATCTGCCTGTATTCTATATGGCTTCCCACAGCGTGTCCCCTCTAACAAACAGTGGTACAAGTTAAAATACTAAGGTTAAAAAAGAAAAAAATAATATGTGTTGGCTTCTCTTGGTCACCTGCAATTGAAAGCCTGATGCTGCTGGAGAACACCTATGATGGAGTCCTTCAGGAAAGAGAAATTCCAGCATTTGGTCCTGGATGTGTCCTGTGGCCTCAGGGCCTCGCTTCATGAGGCCTTTCTAAAAGGTATTGAGATCAGCTATGGGAAGAAACAAAACCAAAAACCAGGTAAGCTATAGACATAGTGCAGGTACTCTTTCAATTATGTGTTTAGCCACAAGAGGGTGGCAAACAACAGTTTTTCATAAACGTGTTGCGTTTCGGGAGATTATTTTGTAAGACACTTTCCTTAGCTTAATTTGTTAAACTTAAAAAAAAGTACAGCAGTTGGATTAGCAAACCTGTACAGTTTACAAGCTATTTGGTAGGCGGCCTGGATGCTGGGAAATGTGATAGTTGGTTAAGGAGCTGCAACTTACCACAATCATGGATGTATAGTTTGTTTTTCATATGGTTTGCTATTCTGAGAAAGTGTGTTGGCCTGGGGACCACAGAAGAAAAAATACCCCCACGTAAGCTGAAATTATAAGATGATTTGCATGTGGAGATACCGAGAAGTGCTTGTTCGGTTGTTTTTA